AAGCGCCCTTCAGGAAAATGCTTTTTGAACAGCACAGAGCAATTATGCACGGACCTTATATTATTTCATCATTCAAAGAGGATGTGGGAGAAAAGACAAGGCGCCTTTCTAGTCCCGCTGAGTTGTGAAGGGCGGGCGCAGCCAGAAGCAGAGAAGGGCGGAGATGGGAGGGGGGAGGGCTGCGGAGAGCGCACCCATGTAGATGCCTGTCGGGCCCCTCCTCGCCGTTTTCCAATTCTCTCTGCTTTTACTCTCTCCTTCTCAACTTCATTCATTCACATTTTGTGCCCTTTAAGATTTTCTCCAGTGTCTGTATATTTCATCTTCACTCTTTCCTTTCTTCTCATAAAAACATCCATTAAGACAAGAAAACTCGAGGAAAAAGAAAATGAATGGTTTAATTTTTGTATCAAATTCAAGAAGTGGAGATGAGGAAAGAAAACCAATGCCTCATTTCTTAATAGCTCAGACGGGATAGCAAAGTTAGGAGAAAACAGCAAAGCCGGGGAGAGAAACGGAGGCCTTTCCCGGAGCAAGGTAATTCATCACCATACCCATTGTTCCGAGGCTGGACGTGAGAACTGATATTTGTAGAGTTTCAGCTGGATAATTGGGTTCTCTTGCTTTGCTCTTTCCCTTGAGGAGTTTAAATTTTTCCTTTTATAACTATAATACAAAGATGAGTCAGTGGCCTAGTTTTTGAAAAGCTCGATTTTTTTAAATGTAATTTACAGTATAGTTAGAAATGAAATAGCCCCAAATCATGCCAGCCCTTCTGTACATAAGGCATCCAGGGAATACATTTAGCTTTTAATGGTGAATGGGGAGAAGAAAAAGGTAACTATGTGCTACAATATTATATTATAAATCAAAGCAATATGCATCAAGCCAATTTATATTATCAAAGCAATCATTTTATTTACTCTCCGGAGCAATCCCCTTGTGTTCATTATTATTATTATGGTGCATTCATTGTGGTTTCTGTTTTTACTTCTACAATATGTATAAGGCAACTGAGGTGACATAATTTTGGTGGGGTCATTCAGGGCATACATTTATTAGATCTGGGAAGATCGGTCCCTTCATCTTTCAAATGAGGGACTGGAGACACAGAGAAATTGAATGCCTTGCCCAGGTCACATTGCTAAGTAGGAGCAAACTTGGAAGTAGAACTCAGGCGTCCTAGAGTGCTCTGGCCACCAGATCAGTCTTCCTTTAAGTCAGCATAACAGTGACCCACCTGCGTGGAAATAGGGGTATTTTACACATGCTTGCACTCCTTTAACTAGTTCACGATGCACAGAACTCTTGCCGAGGAACTATTTTGGATGGTGCTGGCTGGCATCAGACGTCGTACAATTGTAAGAGTAAGGTAGAGACAGCAATTCGAGGCCACCATAGGCCTTACTAAAGCACCCCCAATATTCCAGGAAATGTGGACATTGGTCAGTGAAAAAGTTAGTGACAGATCCTTGATAAGAATCTCACAGGAGGTCCCTTCATTCTGGTCTTTCTCACAGCAATTGCTGAATGCATCTAGCACTCTCGTCATTGCAGCTTCTCATTCCCTGTCAGAATTCAGATTTCTGTCAAGACACGGTGCTTCAATAATTACCCATTAGATTTTCTGAGAAGAGAAGATGACATTCTCATACACTGTCCCATTAGTACACACGGGCTTTGAGGCAGGCAGGGGGCACCTGTCTCAGCCCTTCCCCTTGCCATGCCTGAATGCGGAAGCACATCACAATGAGGCCAGAAAAGAGAAAGAACAAATCCGTATTAATGTTCTTCATCATCATTTTCATATTCAGAGGTGTGTTATTTCTGATGCTTCCCGGACAAATGCATGATACACTGCACTGAGGTTGATTTCCCAGGAAAGCAGTTCTTTATTTCTTCCCCCTGGTGGCTTCAGACAAGACATCTCACCTCTCTGTGCCTCAGTTTCCCTCTTGTAAAATGAAGCCAAAAATAGTAGGGACCTCAAAGACTGCTTGTGAGGATTAAATGAGTTGAAATTCAAAGCCCTCGAACTAGTGACTGGTACGCGATTGGTTCCAAATAACATCTGTTTGCCCTTCTTCCCCGGAAAAAATGCTAAAGTTGTAGATTATCTGTCATGCAACTTTTAGATTATCTTTCAGAATGATCTTACTGGTTAGCCACAGACAATGGGCAAGTAAAAGTGAGCGATCGGGACTGATCACAGACACCAGACAGCTTCCCACCCGCGGGTCGCTGAGCTGCTCAGGAGTTTGCAGCCCTACGGACACAGGACTTGGTCACTGCGTTTGCACTTAGATCTCACTCTTTCAACCTCAGCACTCCATCTGAGATGTATGTATGGCTCTAATGTTTGAAACCAGTGTTGCTTGGAAGTAGTTAACATTAAGAGGGCCATCTTTATTATGGAAATCAATATTCTCACTGTTTTATTCATTAATATTTTAATATGTTTATGATAAGACTCAACCCAAACCAATTTCCAAATCAAATCTGTCCCTTAGTAATTTGATTTGTTGAAAAAGAGAACAAAAGCATTACCAATAGAATACTTTGAATGAAATTATAATTAATTAGGCATCCGATGGACTAATTTCAGATGAGTAATTAGCTAACTAATTATGTTGAAAACAGACTTGTGTGCCTAATGAGATGACCATGCCAGTTCTACCCCCAGAGAGATTTTTTTCTATTACTTAAACTTTTGATTGGTTTTAATGATCCAGGGCCACCTGTTGCACAAAAAAGTTTGAGGAGGTGTGATTTGAGCCTGTTTTGACTTGTAACTTCCCTTATACTTCCACAATTAAAGCCTCTTTCCAAAATGTGTGTTCCATGAGGATGCTTTGAATTTGTTGATATTCCATCTCTCTCCTTTGACACCCTTCACACAGACACACACACACACACACCCCTTCCTAACACCACCCCCTAATTGCTAAGATAATAATCCAAAAATATTCAAAAAATCCTATAATACAAAGAATACTAAATATAACTATAGCTTATTATTTTTACTTAGATTTGGGATCTACACAGTGATAAATTAAACAAGAAAAACAAGAAGAGAAATGACATATTGATTGGGCTATAGATAAATCTTAATCCACAATGGAGAAATATCTGAACTGGCAATTTTTCCTTGAAAAGGTGCTGCCGGGACCATTTCAGATCATAGGCAGTCTCGGAGCATCGAGCGGTTCCGTTTCAGGCAGCTGGTTCTAACTAGCACCTATTTGGCACAAAGCTACAGTCAGGATTTCTGGTTTTAAGTTCAAACCAAAATTTCATAGCAATTGTGCTGTCAGAATTCAGGTCAGGAAGATGGCAGATGTTAATTTAAACCAAAGAAGCATGAACAAACTCTTTTGACTTTTTCTTTTTTTATCGTTGAACCGGCAGCTCTGCACAAATCCTCAACACAAAATAAACTGCAAGTGGCTTAGCAACACACAGGGTGGAGAGGCCTTTGTGAAGGCGTTTTGGTGTCTGGTAAATACAGACGGATTCTCAAATCAGGCAAGGAAGTTAATGGGGAAAGTGACAGTCTTTTATATCAGAAAACAACATTGTTGATTTGCTTTATGGAGGAAACTGAAAATCATAATGACCCCAGATTTTATGAAAATGCTTTTCCTCGTCCATATTCCCTGCTGAGCCAGTATGTAAGATGGGTCCCCAGAGGAAGGAATTCCCTGTGGCCTTTTCTTTTTCCCTACAGTTCAAAAGGACTCCCCTTTCAGAAGTGTTATATCTGCAAGAAAGTTAGTATTTGTACCTGGAATCCAGGTGGAGTCAAATCTACTTTTGGGTTAAAAGTCAGGATTCTACACCCTTTCACGGTAAATGCAAAATTGGGGAAGAGCCTAAGGACCTACATGAATGTATCTGTAAGTGGGCATTTGTGTAACTCGCTTTACATTTGCTCTTTCTTCCATCATTTTTTAGTTCCCTAAGGCAAAGAAAGACCTCCCAGTGAACATCTCCCATTTCTATCTTAAAAGACAATTATACTTCTACCATAAAATCACTTTGAATTAGTGATTCACAACCCTTCACATTTTTCAGGGTTCTATCTACTGAAATGGTGATATTATTCACACTGAAGCAATTATTTAAAAATTAACTGTTGTGTTCTTCAAATCAGTCCCCAGTTATTTGACCAGTGTTTGAAGGTTATCAAGGGGAATTACCTGTCTGATCAATATTTTGTTGCCATGAGACCAAGAAGCTACGTGCACCCCTGGTTTCTTTTATGGCTCGATTGTTGACCGAACATTTTCACAGAGACTGACAGCCACCATCCAGCAACCTCAGGTCTGCTATGTGACAGTCTTATCTGGTTTGCTGTTTTATTTTGGTTATTTTTGCTGACCTTTTCCTTGCCCAAGAAAGCTTTCAGGAATGTGGGTTCTCTCCCTGAAGATAGTGAAACATTATCTACCTTAGATTAGGCCATCAGGAAGGCCTTGCTTGAGGAGACACATCTCGCTTCCACATCCTGCCCGGAAATGATCCCTTTAGACGCCTCAGGTCGCACATGACTGGTTTCCGCACAAAGGGTGTTGCACTTCAGGAAAATTAGGGACCTTTCTTTCTGCCAGTTTTACCCAAAAAAGCAAGGCTAGAAGTCCTCTTTGGAGTTCAATTCCTCTATGGCTACAAAAGGAGAAAGCTTTGAAAGAGAAATATAGGTTCTACAAGGTCCTTACGGGGAAATGTCGGCTCAGTTTGGGAATTCACACAATGAAATCCTAAGAATTGTTTTAGCTTGTCCTCTTTTCATGTGAACTTTTCCCCAGTTTCAGCAAAATGATACATTGCCTTTTAGATATTAGAGGAGTTAACAATTCCTCCCATTCACAGAAGGCCAGGCATTGTTTCCTTTCTGCATGGTGGACTTACTGGAAAAAACTGGTATTGTGTCAGAGAAGCTGAAAATAGGAACAGACAAAAGAATTCAAGTAGTCATATGCTTTTTTGTTTGTTAAAGGTGTAACTTTGGGAGCCACCAACTGGCACACATTTATAACTTGGGAATATTCTGTCCACTGTACCTGCATCTATGTAACATGTTATGGAAGATGGTAAGAGACATTGATGCTAAAAAAATTGCTTACTTAGTTCCACTGAGCTAAGCACTACTGCTGATTTAAATGGCTTTCCATAAATCAGGGAGTCTATATGGAATCCTGAACTCTTTCAATTCAATTACATCAAAGTCAACAAATATTTATTGAGGGGCCTGAATATGTGCTAAGCAAATGTTTGGTCCTGTGGAACAAAAAGCACCAGCAGTTCAGGAGAAAAGAAAAATAGTTTGCAATTTTTATTATTGACCAAGAGTTAACTTAATACTACTATACATTGATATGTAAACATATGCCATGTGTAGAGTATATTCATGTGTGTATGCATGTGTGTGCACACATGTTTGCATATGTAGGTGTGTGTTCTGTGTTTGCTGAAAGCAAATACTTTTGAAAATATGTATAATTTGGTTTGGTGCTTTTTTTCAAGTCTGAAGCAGAAATGCATCTTTTGAATTTTTGTGTCTGATCTAAGTCTTATATCTGATTTCATGTGTTGCTAATTATAGAATTTTACTTGGTACTATAATTTGTATTGAGAAATCTATTTCCCTAGCTTCTTGCTACAACAAAGTACCCATTTCTCCAAAGCCAATGTACCATAGGCAGACTTTAAGTTTGGCCTTTACACTAACTAACTGGGATGGCTATGTTTGTTGACCTAGTAATATCTACTTTTTAGCCCTTCCTAGAAGGGCTTAAGTTTACATTGGCCACAGGAATTAGTGTTCCAATAGAGTTACTTCTATGTATAGTATTCCATGATTTAGAAGGCAAAGTATGTTTTCACTGTGGCTTATTTATATGAACATTTACTCAAGTCGGTGTTCTAACTACAAAGGAATTCCTTAGGCAAGTCACATTTCAATATACATTTGTAAAAGATGTAAGCCTCAGGAAAATGACTTGAAAGAAATTAAGATACATAAATAACACGCTGTCTTTTACCAAAAGTTTTCAGACACAGTTGACCAGTGAATTCTAGTGATTCTAGAACTGTTTTTAAAAGATTAGAAGGACTTTATTGTGTTTTATTGCTTTACAGTTTGTGGGGTATGATAAAAGACTATTACAACCACACATGGGTAAAGTTTGTTCTGAGAACTTACTAACCACTCCTCAATTCAGCTCACATAGACCATAGAAGCTGTGAAGTAAAAATAGGTGTGAGATCACTGTCTTCCTGCTCAAGATCCAAAACTGTCAGTGTGGGTAGGTGCTGGTGCTCAGGGGTGAACCCTACCCAAAATGAAGATGTCATGGTTTCTCAGAGAAAAAAAATCATCTGAAAATGGCTAATACACCCTTAACTTATGAACTGAAATGGCTAAGCATCAACTGTCAACACTAAGGTAAATACAGAGAAATAGAGAAAAAAGTCGGATGTGGTCTCTGCTTTCCACTCCTGGTTTTGTGTGGACTCCAGCAACGTGCGTCCTTTCACGTCGCATGTGGTGGAGAATCATCAGCATCATCGCCACAGCTTTGTGTTCGCACACCCCGTCTCGGGGATCGCATGAGAGCCGTTTAGAAGGACTTGGTCCAAGGTCAAGTGTAAATTCACCTGTGGAGGTTCCTCCCAAGAGACAAAACTACGATACCTTCAAGATGCCTCATGCTCCCCTTCAGCGTAGGAGGAAAGCACACAGTTGCGTGACAGCTGTGCCTGCCCCTGGCTCCCCAGCACCTGGAGCTGAGCCTGGACGGTGCCCACAGCCTCCCACCCCTCCTAGTGAGAGAGGTGGACAGGAAGGCTGGGAACAAATTTCTGAAGCTGAACTCTTCCCTCCAAACCAGGTGGCTACATAACAAATACCAGCCTATGTTGATCGAAAGTATCCAGTTTTCAACAGGAATTCTTCAAAGCACGAATATGTAATGTTACTTCCAAATTTTTTTTTAAAGTCCATAATATTGTGAATGCATTTAACATAATTAAAAATTACTGATTTATGAAAGTGAAATCTTACACATAATCCTTGTCAGCTGAAATGTAAATTGTTAAATCCTATATTTTAAATAACAGTCTTTAATCATGTTTTGCAGGCAGGAACAGTAAGAGTATATGATTAAAAGATTAATTTATCGACCTGTAAGCACTTGGCCAAGAAATCTGAGAGAATCCGAAGTACAGGAGCAACAACGTGGAGTAGAAATGAGGCCACTGGATCACATTTCTTTCTTGATGATCAACGTGGAAATCAAATGAATTAAGTAAATTCTGAAAACATAAATCAAGGAAAAGTTTAAGATTGACTCATGCCAGGTCTGGAATAGATGACATATATGCATGTTAGAGGTGAACATTGCAGGAAAACTTGAGATGGTGAAAAATATGCAGTTCTGTTCCTCAAAGAAGTAAATGATCTTGGGAAAAATTAATGTACATGAGGGATATAATGGGCAGGGAGGAATGTGTAGTCAGGAAAGTGTTTGAGCTGAGGATAACAGCATCTGCGCTACTAATAAAGAATAACTCTATTAGATAATAATTCAGATTGGAATACCAGCATTACTATAGTTACATCTTTAAAATACAGCCATACTGCTGCCATTTCCACTGGTGTCATTGATTGCATTGTTTGAATCTACCACAAATCAGCTATGAGATAACAGCATAGTTATTGCTGTTCCCCAATTCACTGAGGACCCTAGAAGCATGTATGATTGTATTGTGTAATTTGTATTGCACTGTATAATTATAGTTACTTGTATGTATTACATAATTTGTGTTATATGGTTCCAGAGGGCACCATTCACATTGTAGCTATTGAGTGAATTTCTTGCAATACCAGAGTTGGTTAGTAACAGAGCTGTATCTTACTGGCAAAACTTCAGGACATGGGCAATAGAGTCACATGGACACTTACCAGATGACTGGCCTTGGTTCTGATATTTATAATCATTATAATCATTTATTTTCTTTGTGCCTCGGTTTCCTAATCTGCAAAATGGGAAAATAATATTTGTTTCACACATGTGTGGGAAGGATTAATGAGGTATATATGCATAGGACTTAGTACAAAATAGACATTCAATAAATAATTGCAGTTACATAAATGCTATTATTTAAGAGCTAATGTATTTTGATTTCTAGGTGAGAACTCATTCCAGTTCACCCAGTACAGTCTGATATTTTTAACATGGGCTGATTCCATATAGTCTATCATTTAAACAGAAATTTTATGTGTAAACACACAAAGATACTCACATATACAAACCTTTTTAGAAAAATCTATGAGAGTTTGGCCATTGGGGTTTGCATAGTAATATTTCTTCATAACAACATTTAACTGTTGTGATAGCTTAAATATTATTTCATTTCTTGGAGTAATCTAATTATGGGTTATAGAAGTTCCTTTCATTAAATTCTATAAAGTAAAATTTGTAACAAGCACCTGGGTTAGTATGGAAAAGAAGTCTCCTTTCAGGAGTATGTGACAGTAGTTTTGGCTTTGTTTGGAAAAATTCTTCAAGTTTAATTTACTTAAACTAAAGATGATTAAAGATACTAAAATAAAAAGTGAAAAAAAAGTAAATTCCAATAGGACAAAGAAGAATCATTATCAGGGCAGAAGGAAAGAGAGTTTCATTTTCAAATTAATGTAAGTTTTCAATAAATAACTTCTTCCAAAAGAAATTTAGTCAGATGAAAAAGCACCCAGGACGGGTGTGATTAACAAGTATCGGCAGCCTGGTGCATCAGGGTGTTTTGGGGGTATTTGTGAAGAAGATGGGAAGCACACCAGCAGATGTTACCCAGGAGTGCGGCGAGAAGGAGCAGTGGGGCTGAGCAGACAAAGACAGTCTTTCTAGTTGCTGGAGAGCTTCGGGTCCAGAAAGGCAGGCCACTGTCGGGGACAGAAAACAGCAGCCAAAGTTTGTGAGAACAGATTTTAGAAATATTTGTGATCGGTCATTCATTTTTCCAATATTTTGGGAGGTTCTATATGTGCCCGGGCACTGTTCTGGGCAAACCCACACAGCCCGCCTTCCTGGCCGTGCCTTCCTCCGGGGTGAGGGGTGGGAGCACTAGCCCACAGGAAGGGGCCCGTGCTAATGGAATGGGAAGACCCTGGGAGGGGCACGTCTGGGAGGGGCCATCGGGAATATGGCTATTTTGCTGTCCAGTTGGTTCGATTTAGCCATTGATAATGTATCTATTATTTGCTAGTTATGCTTATTAATTATGCTTTTTATGCTTGGATGAAGTCACACAAACCTATGAAATATGGCAGCTTTATTAAGTGATAGCTAAGAACTTTACTTCTTCAAAAAAAACAGTATTGCCAGTGTCAATTATTGTATTTTACTTTGGTTGTTTTCTTTTCAGCATGGCCAAACAGTTGGGTGCTGGATGGTGTGTGCATCAAGACAAACGATCCCTACAAAGCAGGCTAAGGGGACTCCATGATGCCAAGCCAGTAAGAGGAGTTTTGAAGGGTCTAGGCAGATACCGAAATAGGCAAAATGTCCCATCGGCTCCTCTCCATCCAAATCTCCTCATCCAAAGAAAGAGAAAGAGGGAGGCCTGCAAGTGAGGAAAAGAAATGAACTGTCCATTCTTCTCCATCTGCCCCATTTCCAAGAATATCTTAGGGGCTGATTCTGATTCAAACTATGGCAACATAAAGTACGATGGGCGTCCCTGAGATGTAATAACCTGCCAGACCACAATCACAAGCTGTTCCATCCATATCGGTCACGGAGACTAAGTGAGTAATCTGCCAAAGATACAGGAAGCTAGGAGTGAGATGCCATATCTAACTTCCAGTGCTAATGGACGCTAAATAATTTTAGATTTCTTTTTTTTTTTTCAGTTTTGTAAATGGCCAAGCCTTTCATAATTGGCCTATTACTTGGCCAATTCCAGACCTACATAAAGAAATGTGCATGTGTGTTTTCTGCAAGAAATTTTTAATAATCTTTCCTGATCAAAATTTGTAAGGATACTGCAAAAGCTTTCATTTTGGAGAACTTAATTACTAGCACTATAGTGACTATTATTGCCCGGGTCTCACATATCCTCAAGTCTGTCCATTAAACATCTGAAACAACACTTATTTAAAATATTCCATACCCTCATTTCTAACTTGCTATGCTGTTTCCTTTTTCTTTTATTCCTTAAACTTTCATCCTTTTAATAGGAAATAATTGTATAATTCATATTCAGTTTTCTGCATGTAGGGGTTTTTTCCAAATTAAAAATAGAAAAATTAAAAATTAAAGTATGGTTGGATGAAAGGCTGCCTCAAGCCCATTTGCCATTAATGGGTTTGACCTCAGGAAAAATGAAGACAAAACCACTTTTAGTGCATCAATTGCAAATTGTTGATGCCAGCAGCAGCTTAGCTTTACAAAATTATTTAGGAAGGAAGGAAAGAAGGAAGGGAGGGAGGGAGGGAGAGTAAAGAAAATGAGAGGAAAAACATGGAAATCAAAACAGTAGAACTGTCTTCAAATCAGAATGGCTGATGCTAAGGACAAAGGCGGCCCCAAGGTCGCTAGAGCTGTGTTCCTCGCTTTCGGTCTTGCTTCCTGCCCGGCCCCAGCCTTTGTGCCCTGCCCACGCTGGTCCGCGGGTGGAGGGCTGACCCCTGCGTGATGGCGTGAGGAGTCGGGGCCTTTGGAAGGTGATCTGGGTGAGCGGGCCCCCCGTGCTGGAAGCGGTGCCCTCGTAAGAAGAGGAGGAGACAGCAGGGCTCGCCGCCTCCACCAGCAGAGCACATGGGAGAAGGCAGCCGTCTATCCACAAGACTGGGGGGAGGGCCCCCACCAGGACCCACCGCTGCTGGGGTCCTGGTCTCAGACTGCCAGCTGCCAGAACTGTGAGATACAAACGTCTGTGTGCAAGCCACCAGGCTCGGGTGTTTCGCAAGGGCCCCGGAACTCAGACACGTCTCTTGACCCAGGTCAACTCCAGGTCGTCGTCTGTGGTCCGTTCTGGCACATTGTATCTGGAGCCTTGCTCCACGGTCCCGAACGCTTGCTGCGCTGTGTGTGGACCTTAAGGTGGCTGCACCCTGACCTCAGAGTGTCCAGACCCACACACTGGGAGGAGCGAGTTTATACACTCTTGCTGGTGTATCTGCTCATATAGTGCAGAGAAGTATGCCCAAATAAGCCCTCATATACAAGGCAAGAAGCCCAAAGAAAGCTATTTCAGCCAACATCCTTCCTGTAAATGTCAAACAATAGGTTGTTAATGCACCAATCTTTAGAGTGGCCTCCTGGAACAAAGCAAAAAATGGACATTGTTCATGTTCTGCATTGCTACTTGGAATATGTGTTAATTTGTTTCTATCAAATAAAACTTGCCAATCAATCTCTATCATCACCAGGCATTCTAATCTGCCAGGGTGTAACTCTAAGATTCAGCTTCCAAGTGCATTCTTTAAAAAAGTAGCTCATATCTTTATCCTCCAATATTTTTCTGCCAACCTGGACAGCTTTAGTTTTAGTAGTTTACATTTTAAATTAGTCACTATCTAAATATATTGTTGTGTTAGGTTAAACAAGAGCAACAATGGGAAACAAACGCATTCCTCTTGGGATGAACTGAATGAATGTTGTCATCTTACCTGTACAATCTTGCCATCAGGAGAGTGACATTATATGACAGTGGGATTTATCAGGTACTCCTTAATATCTAAAACATAGGCTGAATTTTAATTGGATATTTTTTAAAAGATTAGAAAACAACTCATTAAATAGAACTAAATAAAACTATCTACACTATATTATGCTATATATTATGTATACTCTATTATATATAACAAAGGTATGCTTAACAATTTCCTTAAATATAAACAAATGCATCCACCTCTCTCTCTTCACATGAAAAATGGTTTTGCAGAGTCTGAAGTATAAGAATGTTTTTATACTTTCTTTAACAGAAAGAAAACAAAATGATTAATATCACATTGCTGGGGCCCTTCCAGGGTCTTGGAAGGGGTCTCCAGGGCAGAAAACCCTAAGCATGATGGTTAGCGACCCATGACTCACACCTGTGTGACGGGCCACAGTCAAGGCAATCTAGCTGGCCTGGTCGGTGGCCTTCTGACCTCCTTGTCCAGGTGAACATCCCACTGACAGAGAGGTGGGTACTCACGACTGCAATGTCACATGTTCCCTGAAGAGTCCTCGGTGTCCCCCCTCAATGTCAGTCTGTCCACAGCTCAGACACAGCTGCTGAGCTACTTTCCTGCTCCTAACTGTGACCACATACATCAGGCCAGCTTGTCCCATGGACACATGGGGGTTCACAGTCCTGTTGACCCCTCTGTCCCATACAACACGGTGGATATGTGTGCCTGTGAGCCAGCCTGTTCTCTGATTCTAGCTTCCCACCTGCTCCGGAATGCCCCCTGCTCTCTGCCTGTCTCCTCTGCTGGCTTCACTTCCTCAGTTCGTGAATTTGAAAGGGATGTTCTGACTTAACTCCAGGACTTCTCAAACTCCCTGACCTGCTTTTCACTCAGATCTCTCTTGTGAGCTCGAGATCCAACTGTTTAATTGGAATATTTTACTTACAAATCACAGTTTCTCAAGCTGGATGTGTCCAGACCAACACAGCCACTCTCCTCAGTAGCTTGAGAATGGCTCATCCACCGACCCGGCTGCTCGGATCAGGCCCAGAACACTTCAGCGTCCCGTCCTCACTGCGCCGCCGCAGCACCACGGATCCCACCTCCCTGACGCACCTGCACCTCTGCATTCTCAGCACAGCGTCCTGGTCGGCTCCCCTTTTTCTCCCTGCCTCAGCAACTCTGCTCTTTTAAACCTACACACCTTTCTGCTTCATCATCCCCAATTTTAATTACTGTGTTGGATTCTGATTCAAAAATTGATATCCTTTGCCAAGATCTTTATCCTGAGACTTAGAGGAATGTATCTCTTCAACGAGTGGAGATCACCTCTTGGATCCCCCCCAGGAAGTCCACCTCTAGGGCCCCAGATAAGCTCATTCCTTTCCCACCAACTCTACTTTCTCTCTTTCTCTTAATCCCAAATTTGGAGACAGGCACCACCATCTGCCAAGTCGCTCGAGCAGAATCCTTTCCTTCCCTTATCTCCCTTGCTTCCCACATGGAATCGAATCCCCACCAGCCACGCCGCCGAGTGTCGTCTGAGCTCCTCCTCTGTCCTATGCCCACGGCCGCCCCCTGATGCTCACCGTGGCCCCTCGCTGGCGCTCTCACGACTGCCCGACCCCGCTCGCCAGTCCTAGCTTTGCTGTTTCTGATACAGTCTCCACATCACGATGTGGTCCCTTGCCAGGGCAGAGCTGACCGTGCCCTTCTCCTGCTTAAACCTCACGATGGGAGCGACAAAGCCAAAGCCACCGCCTCACAATGGCTCCGCTTTGCTCTTAGAGTAAAATGCAAACAATGTGCACTGAGGTCAGCGAGCAGGCCCCCCATTACCCCTCCCTCCCCAGGCCCAGCATTCCCCCTCGCGCTGTGTGTGGGGGGCCACGCTGACCTCTGCACACCTGCCACAGGCCAGGTCATCGCCCCCCGGCACGGCCCCTCCTCACGGCTCTTCCTCAGCAGGAGCACTCTGGGCATTTGGGGCTGGACAGTGACAGGCTGCGGGGGTGTCTGAGCACCGCGGGGTGTTAGCAACATCCGTGGCCTCTACCCCCAGTGACCCCCACTCCCACTAGGTATGCCGAGGAAACCCACCCCTCCACGGTCACCATGGCGTGTCAGTGGGACGTGGTTCCACCCCTTACCACGTCCTCCAGGCCCCTCATCCTGCAAGCCCGGACTCGGGACCGAGCAGAGGCCCATACATGTGCCGCCCCTCTGCCCGCCTGCAGCTCTGGCTGCAGCTGGGTGGGCAGGTCCCTGCGTGCTGACAGCCGCCTGCGCAAGAGGCTCTGTGTTGCTCTCACTGTTTTCATTGCTGGGCTGTCTCTGTAGCCCTGGACTCGCTCCATCTGGGCATCCAAGAAGTGGGAGCGTGTTGTCCCCAGGATGACCATCACCAGTGTGTGGAGGATGAGTGGATAAATGCCCCAACCTCTTTTCCTTCAAACAAGAGCTCCTGGCCACATGCAATTTCTCAGAGGGTCTCCCAGGGCTTCGAGCCCATAGATCCCAGATAACCAGTTCAGTGAGAGCCCTTTATTGGTTTTCATCCCTCCCTTTCTCACTGCCCCATGCCTCACTCCAGGGATCATCTTCCAAATAGACCACCTGCACCCAAGACCTCATCTCAGGCTCTTTTTGGATGAACTCAATTTCCCAGATCATTTCAGTTTGGTGCACCTGTATTGGCTATTAACTCTATGCTGGGAAATGTGCTAGGGTTGAAAGGTCAGCAATAGCATTGTCCTGATCTGAAGGAGTGTGACACATCGTCACAATAGAAAATTATGATTGCTGTAATAACAGCATGTCCAAAAGGATTGTGGGAGCTCAGAGGAGGGACCAGGTCCTTAGGGGGGTGGGGGCAGTGGGAGTAGGGAGTCTGTGCTGCAATGCCCCGGACAGGGTGTGCAAACATGCCAGATGCATCAGGTAAGTGTGCTGCATGAAAAACAAAGGACAGTGACCAATCGGAACAAGGATGAAAAGTGTGAGCTATTCACTCCTTCAACTCAAGTGACAGACCACCTGCCACATTCCCAGATTCCCGCTAGGCACTGGGGACATGTCAGCAAGAAAGCGTTTGTGTAAAATTGTGCCATGGCCTGACGTTCCATGGTGAGCGCATCACTGACTCCCCACTTCTCTGCGCACATTCTGGCACCAGGGACTATACTTCCTTGTGTGTTTCCATTTCATGCAGAATTTATCAAAATCTTCCATTTCTGAAGTTTTGCTCTATTTATACATCATTATTAGGTGATTTTGAGCCTAATTTCTTGAGCCATTTTGAGTGACTTAATGGAACAGAGATGAAGGACCCAAAAGGTTGCATCTCAGGAGCTTAAAAATTGAGAGATTACATCTCTCAAACAGGTTTTCTTCCTCCCAGATGTCCCCTCAGCTTCTCAGCCCAGACCACTCTCACCCTTGCACCGGGAGTGGGTGTTTAACACTCGGATGAAAGAGAACTTCACCCACTGAGAGTCACTCAGGAAATTTTAGTCTACAGACCTGACCCCGAGTCATTTGGAAAACCAGCCAGGAGACCTTCATCTGGAAAACGCTGTGATGACAGAACCAAGCGTGGAAACAAAGGGATACACATGGCCCCTGACTTGATGAAATGCACAGGCATCTATGTCTGGGGGGCACAGACTTCTTTCCTGCTGAGGCCGGTACTCCCTGTCTCATAAACCAACTCCAGCCGGCCTTCTCCAGCACCTAAGGAGACCACGGCAGTGGCAGAGTGGTGTGGTCACAGGGCTGGCTCACACCAGGCTCATTCTCACGTGTGGAAGGTCACGTTTCTCACTCCCAATCCAGCGTCTACCTACTCACCCACAGCCCAGCAGCGGCCTCTATTTTTTAAATGATGATCCAGCTTTCTTACTCAGTCAACTGCCTTGCCTAAATAATCTTCTCCTCTATTTTTTTCCTCCTCTGGGGGGCAAAGTATTTCCTGGCATCTGTTTTAAATTTGTTTTTCTTTTAATTTCTGTGTATGCCTCCTTTTCCTATCATCTGAACTGAATTGAAAATAGCATGTTGGGTCAATGGGCATTTTTTTTGTCATTTCTGGAATAATGTTACGTTTCACCTCCAGGGACTCCGAAAGGGCCTTTGTGCTACTTGCACCCAGGCCATTTGGCCATGGCAGCACAGCTCCCTCCGTGTTAGGGGCCTGAAACCAGCCCCGTGTCCCTGAAAACCTCCCACCTGGCTGTGTCATAAGCCTGGAATACTTACTGAAATAGAACTAGGGATGGCCTCTGTTAGGGACTGAGTGTGTGGGACCCCCCCACCAAATGCATATGATAAGGCCCACCACCCAGTGTGGTGGTATTTGGAGATGGGGTCTCAGGCAGGTAAGTGCGGTCAGATGAGGTCAAAGGGTGGGGCCCTCAGGCCGGGTTAGTGCCCCTGTAAGAAGTGACATCAGAGCTCTCCTGCAGTCCCCAACCCCTGTCTCCCCCACTATGAAGGCACTGCAGGAAGGCAGCTGTCTGTAAGGCAGGAGGGGAGCTCATGCCAGGACCTGAAAGGGCTGGTCCCTTGAGCTGCTGCTTCTAGGCTCCAAGCTTGTGAGAAAATCAGTCTTGGTTGTGTAAGCTCCCCCAGTATGTAGTATTTGGTCATGGCAGCCCCAGAGGACAAAGACAGCCTTGTAGATGGTCACTCTTACCCCCTGTGTATCCCATAAACCTCTTCTAAAGGTGCATTTGGAGACACCTCCTGCCTTCGGGGCTGTGGTGGCCCTATTGACCATATGGACGTGATTCTCTGGACTCCCTGAACTCTGGCAGCTCACGCCTAGGGTGGAGACTGCCTCTGCTGCAGGCAAGGGTGCTATTAGGGCAAGTGTTTGGCATATCCATCAGAGTTTTTTGGGAGGAAAAAATGAAAATAAAACTTTATCTATAATTCCACCATTTTAAGATAAATAACAAGTATGTATTAAGATTAACTCATCTTTTTTAAATGAACATCTATGCTTAAACTGAAGTATATATATATGCATATGTTACAAGTGTACATATAAGTACATGTATTATTTGTATGTATTTATGTATGTTATATATGCAGGTATCTAGTGGGTATGTGTTTCTGTGTGTACACCCTGAACCTGTATGCATATTATGCATGTATACACACACACACACACACACACACACACACACACACATCACACCTATGATGGCAGCAAAGGATTATGTCAACCTATATTCTCTGTGATTCTGAAGAATGAGTTAGACAATTAGAAAGTGGAGAAAGGGGAGTTCTTCCGATGTATTGCTGAAAATTAGGAGAGATTCCCTTCAATGTTCTCTGAGAAATGAAAGCAAATGTTAGAATTCATTTTCATCTACTGCTGGGCAGCGGACTCCTCCCTAGATGCTGCTCCATGCAAAGGCCGTCCCGTGGTCCCGTGGCTTCTGTTTAGGTCTATATAAAAGTATATCAAGTAGTCAAATAGTGCTGACCAGGCCGTTTCTATTCCAGCAGGTGTCACTTTCCTAGAACATTACAGTTTTCTGCATGGAACATTTCTCTAAATGAAACATTTTTTTTGAGTAGGCACTTTTTAAATGGTAAAATAGTATGTAAATATGGAATGCTGCTCTGAATAGAAATAGGGAAAACTCAGAAATCAAAGTACAAAGTTGATAAGGGGATAAAAGTTGGATGAAGACTGAGCTCTTCCCACCACCTCCACCGGGACCAGCGAGAGGCCACAGAAAAGTGCAGGTGGAAAACTTCCAGGAAGACGCAGGGCCAGCGGGCGGCTCTGACATCTCCGAGGGTCCACTGGGAGACATGCCACGTTCCCGGGTCCACTGGCCCCTTGCCATCTGCATTTTGACATGTCCGCAAGAGTGGAAAAATATTTTCTCCTCATTTTCAGCAGGAAATACTTTTTGTGTGTGATTGACTGCTCTAAATAGTCGTCATTCTAGAATTCACATTTTCATCAGCAAGTATCTCCTTTTATAAGATGGTAGATCTGGACAGGCTGTCCCAAGAGTTCAATTCTCATGACCTTCTGTGACCTTGGAAAGGAAAGGACCTTGGAAAGGTGGGGGGGTCTTGTTTGGATATGGTCATCCTTAACTGTTGACTATGAACTTCTGAAATTACAAAGATGAAGAAAATCTTAGAATATTTCCTAAAGGTATTTTTTCTGTGCTTTTCAAAGCTAGCTCAAAATGTGTCATGATGATGACATGTAAGACATGAATAATGATTTTCAAACATTATGAGAAACTTTTTCAAATTAAATGATTACACGATTCTTCAAAAAAAAATGGCTACAGGTGTTAGGTTTCTTTACAAGTTACCTGAAAAATGATCTCCTGCAGCTGATCAAGTGAGCGGCTTTGTCACTACTTGGCAGCAATTGTGAAGGATGTGAAGTGTCCAGCCTGGGTGAGGAAGGGAAAAGGGGAGAGAGACCGTGAGATCAAAGCACACGCACCAAGGAGAAATGGCCTTTTCCCTGTGGCTCTGAAAATCTCCTTTTAAAGGGATCTCCTCCCCACCTACCTCGCATTTGGCATATGGGGTGTGCTACAGATGGCTACACAGGGACACAGCTGGTGAGTATCTGGCACTCGTTCCACGGTGCTCCCTGCCAGCTGGCCAGCATCAGCCTGGGCTTGCAGAATGGGCTGATTCCTCCCAGCTGTTATGCAAAAGAAAGTAGAGAAATGTTGTCCTTCACCAATTTTCCTTCTAAGCCATTTTAGCTAATGCTCGATCTCAACATTGCCCACTTCCCCAGGTGGCACCTGCTTGCAGCAGAGCCCCCTCCATCCACCTTCTCTGTTCACTTGAACATGAAGTTGCATTTGGATAAGGTTAAGAGATGGCAGAAGTGCTCACTGGCCAGACTGTGAGTAATGCACGAAAGGTGTGACCTGTCCTGTGCAGGGATATGTGGGGGGTATTGACCAGGCTGCCTGCGCCACCAGCACACAGGTGGCCAGGAAAGGCTAACCTTACCAGGAGCTTGTTTCTGGAAAAGAGGTATCAAACAATATTTGCAGTGATAGTTCAAAAAATGAAATGAAATCTGGAAAGCAGCCTTCACATTTCCAAAGAATGAAGAGCAAAGCATATCTGGAAGGCTAGAGACACAGGCGAAAAGAGGCGCTTATGTGACGAGGTTTCCAGGGAAGTCCTCAGCCCATTATCACAGAAAGTGCAGGGGTCACATTACCTTTTAGAAATGGGGGAAGGTTGCAGCAGCATATTCTCTTTTCTCAATGAAGTTGAAGGCTTTTTGTTAGTAAATGTTTCATGCTTTGAACTAGCACTTTTCTTCTAAAGGGGGATTTGTTATTGACTTTGTACACTGGAAATGAAAGCCGGCTGCAGATGCCCCTGCCCGCTCTAAGCAGAGACTCATCAGATGCCTCTCCCACCCCCGACCCAAATATTTCCTCACAGAGCATTTGTTCTTCATGCCTTGTTGATCCTTTATCTTTCTGCAAGGGCAAGATATCCATCATAAAACTCAGGAATGGTGCCCTTGACTGGGGAGAAGGCTGTGTCACCAGTGGCGTGATGGTTACAGAACATGGAATGGAAAACAGATAAGAAACACATTTATAATTTGCAAACATCAGGAGCTTGTTGCTGAGAGGATGAGGAGAATAAATGAAGGGATGATCTTTTCCCTCTAATACTGTCATCATGAAATGTTTTAATTAAGCAGAGTTGGAAGAAAGAAAATTAATATTTTTTAAATAGTAGCTTTTTAAAGGGCGAAGGTGAAATGAAAGAACAGACTTTCTCATGTACGCACTCTGTATTTCTGTAGTTCAGCTAGGACCTTTGGTGAAATGCTTTCAAATACTCTTTGTATCTCCCCGGCTGCCAGTTTTATCACAAGTAGAAGCAGTTCTCTAGGAAAGAACAGAACAGCACACCGGCTAATAAACATTATCTGATTCAGTGATTTATTTTCTTCAGAAGTTATAGCTGTGGTCAGAATGATACCCAGTGAAGAGTCACATAGTAATTTAAGAACATTTCAACAGAAAAATTAATCTGTGAACTTTGTGATGCTACCATGTTACTGTAAAACTCTGTGATATTTCTTCCACTGTCAGCAGCAGCAATAGCAATAACAAAGTTCACACATGCTACTAAATACTCCACAGGTGCATATGTTAAGTACTTCTGTGTGCAGAGTCCTGTATGAGGTGATAGGGTAGGGTGGTGGACAGTGGCGGCAGGGAGCAGAGAAGGAAGGAAAAGTCTGTTTTCATGAGTAGACCTTCTATCACTGACAATCTTTGTGAGCTAAACTCTCTCAATGCTCAAAACCCTGTTGATTGAAGAGAAGATTCTGGTGGGGAGGAGAAAGGTGAGTATGCGCCATTACATCCTCCACAGTGAACAGGCTTAGATGGAGAGGAGCAAAGAACGTAAAAAGAGGAACAGAAATAAGTTATGCCTGTCATGCCTCATGGCTCATAAACTAATGAAAACATGGGAAGGAAGGAAGCCTATCTTACTGTTCCAGTGATATGAAAGAAGTCGTGGATCTTCTGAAGAATTAATAGTTATGCTGTTGTAAAATACTGCTTTTCATACACTGTCCAACGCGTATAGGTCACTGGACCAGACTGTATTATTTTGACTACATTGGTGGATTTGAGGATTGTGACTGAGAATCGAAGATCATCGGTTAACCTCTTGCCGTCACAGGCACAGTACTCCCTCCCTTCAGATCTATTCTGGTGGCTTCTCTTTCTTTGCTGCCAAATCCCAGGAACCACTTACCATGCTCTTACTCGAGAGCCGTGCTCCTGGAAGTAAACCTTATTATGTACAAGACCCTGGGAATGTAATTAGGAGAGAGACCCAAATAATCTCCAGGGCAGCAGGGAAATGTGGGTTGCAGGCAGTGCCTGTTACAGTGGTAAACCAACCCACCCTCCTTTCCAAACTCAGCCTCCCTTACTTTGAAAAACAAATTCTTATTGAGGATTTAAGCTAATGACTAGTCACCAAAGTCACTGCGAACATCTCTTCCTTCCTACGCTCACTCATGCCCATTTCCTGCACTGTCCTAAGGTCATTGTGAGCAGTAAATGAGATTGTACAAACGTGCCTCCTGCCGCAAGTCCTGCTCTTAGCTAGTTATCCATTCAGATTAGCATTTAGCAATAAATTGTGGTCCGATTCACAATGCAATTTTTCCAATGCTACCTTTTCTGAACATTCTAAACCACTGTGGTCTACTCCTAGGAAAAGGGGGCAGTCCTTCCAAGCAATGGGTCTTATTTGGCTGCTATTCTGTAAAAAGTGCTTTTTCATGTCTTTCCAGAATGTGTGCACGATAGGAATGACATGCCCAGTTCAAGAGCCTCTCTCTAATAATACCTTAAGTGCTCTTTTGAGCTGAGTACCAATAAGACAAGAAAGTTGGGACTATGACAGAAAACACAGTGATGAAGTGTATTAAGCAATTCACTAAAGAATAAACATATGTGAAACAAGCCATAATAAGTGGTCAGCCAGGAATGAGACTGCATCCTGAAGAATGCCCTTCCTCTCTTTCTGGTTCCACTATTAGCTCTCAGCAGCCTTGTGACTCGGCCAAAGTCCTTAAAAGGGCAAATGGGTTCATTGCACTGGGGCCTGTCTTCCATCTCAAAGTTGTCTTCAAATTATATTGACTTCACCTACTGAATTTTTGTCACTTTAGTACTTGTTCCTCCTAATGGCTATTCCACATATTCTTGAATTGCCAGAAATGTGAATCTCCTCTAATATTAATCCCTCTGAAAAAATACCTGTTGTAAAAAGGTGATAAAATATGTGAGAGAAATTGTAGAATTCTTTGGGGCAGAGAAAGAATAACTCCTGGGTGGGATATTGACTACAGGGATTCCATAACTGAATGTTTTCAGTCTATGATTGTTATGATTGCTCTCTGCATTCCCCCTGACTTTGGAAATCCATTTCTCCCACTGCTATATCTGGGGGTAAATGAGATCATTTGCTACCTCACTGGGATTTGTCTGTTTAACTGTGTTAATCTCAACTTTGGTAAAGGTAACTTCAATATAATTTATTGTTTTCAACAAACATTATTTGGCAGGTAGTCTGCATCAGCCACTCTTCCTGGTCTAGGGATATGGTCATGAACATAACAGACAAAAATTTCTGCTCTGATAGTACTTTGTTTGACTGGAAGGAAGCAGGAAATAAAATGAGAAGTAAATATATAATACGTTAGATACTCCTTAAAGCTAGGGAGTAAGCATGAATGTGAAGGACCAGGATGGGGGCTGAGATGACACTTTGGATAGGACAGCCCAAGGAATGAGAACACAGAGAGGAGACAAGGATGACAGCCTGGCATTTGGCCTGAGCAACTGAAGTGCCCATTACCTAAAAGGAGTTGGGTCAAATATCAGGTTTTGGACACATTTCTTATTTTCAGGATGAGAGTCCAGTGGGAACGTCAAGAAGCTAGATGAACATTTGGGTCTAGAGAGAGAAGTCTGGCTTATAGATACAAATCTGGGAAATGCCCTCTAGATAGTAGATAAAGTCATGGGACTGGGTAAAGTCACCGCAGATGAACAAGGAGAAGAGCATATGATACAAGAACTCAGAAATGGCCACCGGATGTGCACCTTGGAGGCTGACGATGACTTTGAGGTAGGAAACCACATGGCCTTGGACTCAGGAAGAAAGGAAAGAAAAACATTAGCTTCTTAAATACCAGGCATTTTCCTCCAAACTCTTATTTATTGAGTAGATTGGCAAAAGAAATAAATGGGTTATTTTCTTGAGAAACCATTTGAAAGACATGGGGACACTCGTTTAGCTGAGGTGTTATCCGAGCAGTGTCACATTTACAGTGATAGTAGTGGCAGATTTCCTTCCATAGGGGTGTTCCAAACCAGCATTTGAGCTAGCTTCCAATCCAAAAAGCTGGAGGCGTTTTTCTCTCGAAAGTTGTAAGCTAGGGTATGATTACTGAGAAATCCTGGGAAGCTGGTATTTTCTTTACTTTTTTTTCCCCCTAAGGAATAATCTCCTAAATGCTTCTACTTATGTGTAAGTATCAAAATACCACAGTCAGCATCATTTTCCATAGCCCTTCATGGAAAATATTTCTCAACCTGGGAGCAAGTCAAACTTGTATCCTAGAAAAATAAAACCTACATCAACCCCAAGTACTATAGAGTAAAAAGTCAGAAGATATTTTAAAGTAGTAGATACTGGGCTCCATCATTATCTTTTATGTCAAAAGGACATCACATACTTTGAACTCTATACCTGGAAAGGTGGAAGTACAAGAGGCGTCTCATCTTTGGCATGTTAGGTAATTTAAGCAATAATATTGTTCTAAGAAGTGATAGCCACCGCCTGGCTCTCTAATAAAAACTCCTTCTCTTCTCAATGACAAGAAGCACATGGGTGTGTGCCGCCGTGCCCTGCAGTCAGTTTCTGACTCCTACGAAACTTCCTTTCCATAGGAGGGAAGATGAAAACATGAGCTTTGCAATAGAATTTTGATACATGTAAGAAATCATAGATCTAATTCTGGTTAACTCCTAAAACACAACCACTGTTATTAGAAGTTATGCATCAATATTAAAACAGGGTCCTCTACTCAATCATCATTTGAAACCCACATGGGCAACACCTTTGGAACTTAGATTGTCATCCATCAAGGATGCCTATGATCAAGGAGCTCCAGTTCAACACTGAGTTTCTGAAGTCTAATATTTACCAAATGTGCGGCCTTGATCCCCTGCAATCCTCTTTACAAGTTAGAAAATGAAGACCATTGGCTTCCTCAGAGTCCTGCAGTGACATGTGATTAGAGCTGATACACATCGCCACATCTACACAGTCACCATTGTTTTTCTCATTCTACGAAACTGTATTTTATTTTATGCCTCTGTAAACAAAGTTAAATCAGTTTGCTGATTTCACACTGTAGCATTGGCCTTAATTTGGGGTGGAACATTTTTAAAAGGCATTGAGGGAATAAAACCTGACCTCATAACTAACTAAAAGTGATCATTAACATTTGGAGCATTACTACTTAAAATATAAAATTACCTCAAATTTTATACTTTTAGGACTCATGGAAGCTTTGATATAGTCATGAACTATACTTATTTTTTCCATTAAAATGGTAATTTGCTTAATTGAAAAGATTACACTTCCGGACAAAACAAATTGGCTATAAACTAACTTTTCATGACTTGATATAGGCTTTCCAAATTTAGCAAAATTTATCCATGTGTTATACTTATACTGAAAAGCTATTCTCTGTTTATCTTACAGACAAACGTAGCTGGCTGGCCTGTATTTTATCTGGTGACCCAAAACGGCATCACAAAAACAAACAAAATGCTCAAGCAGCAATGATGTCATTCCTTTCAGTAATCATGAAAAGAAAGATCTTTCTTTAAACTAGCACTACTTTAAGTCTTTAAAATGTGATACAAAACTGTTTCCAAGCTGAACCCACAAGTGGCAGTTGACCCGAGAGTTAACTGGTGGGTCTCAGATTTGGTTCAGCAGCGTCACTGTCGCCTGGACGTGTGGTCAGACCTGCCGACTCTCAGGTCTAACCCAGATTGGCTGATTTCGGAAATCCTGGGGTGGGGCCTGGCAATCTGGGCTTCAACATCGCCCCACCCCTCCAATTCTGATACACATTCAGGTTTGAAGTCATTGACTAGGGAACTGTTTTCCTTGCATTAACACATCTAAAAGCAACTAGAGAATGCTTATCAATTCAAGAACCTAGGTTTTGATTGCATTAGTTTTGTTTTTGTTTTTAGTTATAGATGTGAAGAACTTGAGTCCTCTCCCAAACAAAGAGGATAATGGTATGGGGAGGCGGGGAGGGGCAAAG